GGAAGGATGGAAGGCTGAGTCAACCTTGAGCCGGTGAGATTTGAACCGCCGAACTGCAGAACTGCAGTCAGCTGAAGTAGCCTGCAGTGCTGCACACTAACCACTGCGCCACCTCGGCTCTAAATCTAGGAATAATCTAGGAATAATCCAAGTAACATAAGATGTAACATGTTACTTATGGGATCATTTCTCCCTAATTGTTTTTACCCATCCTACCTGATCTGTGTAAGTGAATATGAGAATGACCTTCGGATTTTGGACAGCAAGATGCAACTCAGATAAAAGGCAACTTACCCCAAAGCAGGAATGTGGATGGGGCAAAAAGCTCAAGAGACCCTCCCTTGTTTTCAGGCTATAAATAGTTTGGGCATGGGCAGAGCAAGAGAAGTTATCTTCAGACTTAAAAGATTCTGTTAATTATAACCTTATCCTAAAATAGAACTAACTCATCTGGTCTTGCTTTGTGTCAGGTTTAACCTTAGAATCGACACCAATCTCACAAATATTGTATATATTGCATATTTTGTTTTTTACTTGTTTTATTGTAAGCTTCCTAGAGTCATGTAAAATTGAGATGGGAGACTATATAAATTTAATGAATCAATAATCAATAAATGTGTCCAACAAGGTTTCTTTTTAAATCCATGCTTCTTATATAGCTCAAATACTTAGTTCTCTTAAATATCTGTATCTGTTATTCCCCCGGTGCACTAATAACCATAGAGATGATTTTGCAAGCTCCTCTATCTCTTAAACTCTAAAAATTGGCTTCTATTACTCTAACTTATTCTGCCATCTGATGCACCTGCACCAATATTCATATAACCATTTAGAAGCAAATTCTCCACCCACATTTATTTAAATTTTTTATTATTCTTTGCATAAATCTCAACTGATCCTGATTTGCTGTACATACAGAAGCCAAAGTTATAGTTTTATTATCAAACTTTTCTTAAACAAAAATGAATTTTTCCTATCATTTAAAATATTTTCTACCATAAAGTCTCTATTAACCTTAAATAAGAGAGCTAGCACTGTTGACTCCTTAATGCCTTCTCCAAAAATTATCTTCCAAAATATTTATCCTTAATTTTTTCTGTGTGTTTCCTGTAACATAATCACAGATGGATTGAAGGATCAATCAACCAGAATGGCATTGAGAGTTTATCAGAGAAGTAGTTTATTGTTATTTTACCTGTTTACAAAAATGTCACCAAACTAACTGCACCTACTACAGAACATCTCTAGATAAGCACTCCAAGATGTGGGTGATCTGCTCTCTTGTCATTTCCTCCCCGCCAGCAATTCCAGGCTAGCGTCTCTAAACTCCCCCCCCCCTTTCAGCTGCAGATTCCACATCTGGAATATTTACTGATTCTAACTCTTTTTATTGGATTTTCCAAATTAGGCATTACATTTCTGTTGTTCCTGTCCTGTTTACCTTTCCTACAAAATAAATCTATCAACAGTGAAGCCTTAGCCAACACATTTCATGTCAGCGTGAAGAGGCATTTTCTGACTAGCCCTTTTTTTTACCTTTATACGGTTTCCCTTATCTTTTCCCAGCTTGCTTCTCCATTTACCCACCTACACCAAGAGAAGATTAATTAGATCCTCTAATATCAACCTAGTTCAGAGAAGTCCTATACTGAGGTCCAGCTCCTTCTAGCCTGCTTGCTTGTTGCTATTTTAATTTCTAAACTTCATCATTTTGTTTTACTTATTACCCAACTAATATGAAACAATTATCAAATTCCATAATTTATAGAACTATCGGAAAGGATTTTAGAATACTTCTTTTATATGCATGCACACTAGTGAGGAAACACTACATCACTTAAGTATTTAGTTGCCCAGTGAACACTGAATGCCAACTATCTAATATAAGCCAGTACAGGGAAAGTATAGTTGGCTAACTGAAGATTTGATCAGGGATACATCACATTGAAATAGGTATTGCAGTTCTATGTTTATCAGTATCAGCTGAAGTAATTTAAAAACATCCCTCAACTTACAGAAATATCCAGTTCAATCAGCAATGATTTTTTAATTGCATCGTCTCTAGTAAGTTGAACGGCCTTGGTGATAGGAACACGAAAAATGGAGTTCTCCGAAATATAAGGTAGGCTAGCATTCTGAAAATAAATTGACACAAATTTAATTCAAAGGACTCACTACAAGAAATAATTGCACAAGATGTTTGATATTTACAGTAGATGAACCAGAGGTGGATTCCTACCAGTTTGCACCTATTCGGTAGAACCGGTTCGTCAAATCTACCGAACCGGTTAGAAGAGGTTCCACCAGTGGACCTGG